TTATTTTTGATTCTTATTAATATATTAACATATTTAATAAGCTTATAAATACGAAAATATAAATAATAAAATATTTATAATTATACAAAATTAAATATATCTCATGTTTTGAAACTATTTACAAAATGTCCATATATAAATTATTTTAAAACTTGAATGTTAATTTCTTTTGTTTCTTAAAATTAATATAATCTGAATATACTTTACCAAAATAAAATAAATTACCATTAATTTTAATTTTTAAAATAATTTATATATGGAGATTTTGTAAATAGTTGAAAACCATGAAATATATTTAATTATTTATGATTATAAATATTTTATTATTTATATTTTAGTATAATATAAGTTTATTGAAGATATAATAATTACAAAATATGTTAATATATTTATAAGAATCAAAAAAAATAATAACAAAAGTTTTAATTAGAGAAGATTAAAAGTATAGTAGCACATATAATTGCAAATTTGTAATATTTTCTTAAAAAATTGCTTTAGTCTAGTGGTTGATGTGTATGTTTTAAATAGTGACAAAGCCCGGGTTCGAGTTCCGGAATGTTCACTTTTCCGGAATGTTCACTTTTTTAATAATAGAATCAAAAAGACGTCGTTTTATCATTTTAACAGTTGACTAACTTCTATTACGCTCAATGTAGGTTTAGGCACGTTTTAAAAAGTTCAGGTAGTATTTTTGCGTTATAACGTAGTTAAGGTCGTATTTGGCACTGGATGTTTGTTCGGGTTGTATTTGGCACGATTGAAATTGTTTGGGTAGGAATATGCCCTTGCCCTTTTCCCGACGTCATTTTATTATTTTAACGGTTGACTAACTTTTGTTACGGTCAATGTAGGTTTAGGCACGTTTTAAAAAGTTCAGATAGTAGTTTTGCATTATAACATAGTTTAGGTCGTATTTGGCACTGGAAATTTGTTCGGGTTGTATTTGACACGATTGAAATTGTTTGGATAGGAATAGACCCTTTTCTCGGTTATTTACATATACTACAGCTAGCTACTAGATCCAAAGAAACAACAATTCAGTCTTTTTAAAAATCGGCCGAATAAATATTTAACCCGACTTACTGAAATACAAAAACTTAGCTACCCCATAAAAACCACAATTCAATCTTTTTAAGACTGGCCAAATAATATGTTAACCAGTGAACTTTAGAATAAGTAAACTTTAGATACTAATTAAAAAGTAGCTCTTTGTAATTTACATATGTCGCACTTGCACTAAGCTAGTAAGCTAAAGCCACTTACGAAGCTTGCATTAAATATTTGGGTGAATCGGTTGAAAATACATAAAGAACTTGGATATTAGTAATATGCCATAGTTTTGGGGGAAAAATAGTGAGAGGGGAGGAGGAGAGATAAGAGAGAAAAAGAGTACATAGTTAATTTAGGGGTTTAGTTTGTATATGAGATGCAAATAGTCTAAATATTTTTAAAACAAAATTGAAAATAGTGGCTAATAATATAACACATCTTGCAGACTGAATTTTACACGATACTGTATTTCTTCGTTTCCCGAGGTGAGTTTAACAAATCTTTACCCAAATCTTTTCATATTTTTATTTCCAATCTACAAAAATTTTGTTGCTAGCATATAAGTGTAATAAGGATAGTTTTGTCTTTCATGGTAGCATTTGATATCACGCGCAGCCATCTTTTATTGTTTTTGGCATATTCTTAATTTCATTATCTTTCATTGGTTTTAAGCTAATTAGCTCTTATAATAATTGATTGATATTTACTTTAAATTTTAAATTAACTTATAATTTGTAGGTATAATTTATATTAATATTATAGTAATATTATATTAATTATTTATATATATAATTTTAGATATATTATATTTGGCCAGTTATATTGTTTTTACGGTTGATTTAGTTATCATATGGATATATGAGCTTCTATCTATTTTTTTGAATTCAACTATAAATATATTAAATTTTTGATTAATCGTATTATTTACATTTATGTCGGTTGTTATCTTAGAAATATAAGTATATTTAGTAAGATTATGTATAATTTAAGATTTTTTTCTTAGAAAGAAAAAAAATAAAAAATAAACTGTGTGATTCTAAATTACATACATAAGTAACTAATAAATTTTTGGAAGCTTATAAACACATATTAATATTTACAATATTTAGATTGATTGGATGGTAAACTGAAATTTATTTTAAATATTAAAAAAAAAAGATTCTGATTTGCTTAAGTATTTTGATTATGGTTATATTAAGTTCCACAAACATAAAAACAGAAAATTAAAAATCAAAAGAGTTATTAAGAAAACATATAATTTTAACAATTAAAATATAATATATCCACTTCGTTAAATTATATAGTGTTATGATATTTTAAAATAATTTTAGTTATTTGATCAAATGTTTATTATTAAATTTCTTTTAGTTTTCTTTTTAATATCTCTTAAAATATGCAGTAAAAATGTTATTGTTTTTGAGAAATTATATTACATAAGTAAAATAGAGTATATATTTTTTCTGTAATTGTAAGATATTATAGTCAAATAAATATACTAAAATTTCGAAAAAAATATTGCACAAATAATAATTATAACAAAATTTCAATTAAACATATATCAGTTTATGTTACTTAATTATTTTATATAATCATCTAATAATATAGATAGATATATAAAAAAATTACTTTGAAAATATATATATATTTATTGTTTAAAATTATTTTTTTAAAGAAAAAAAATATTTATTTTTCTAATATCAAGATTAGTTGTGTAAGCTTTTTTTATGGAATCACATTATATACAAATATTGTTTTTCATCTAAGAAGATATAGATATAAAGTATTTTATTACTTCAAAAGTTTATTTTATGTTGTTTAAAATATATTTAAATTAAATATTAGTATTTTGTAAACTTTCTTTTTTTATGAAACCATATTTGTATATACTTATATTTTCGTTTTTAAATAGTTTTGTTAACTTTATACATGTTTCCCTTTTATTTTATATTGTTATTTGGAATTTTTTTAAAAGGAAATAGTAATACTTAATTGTATTTTTAACTCATTAGAGTTATCATAGTAATCAACCAGCGTGAGTGTTAACGTGAGCGTAACACATAAGAAAGTGACTTCTCAAATATAATTGTATTTTTATAATATTTATCAAATTATATTTTGATTTCTAAAAAATATTAGAAAATAAAGTTTAACTGCTAAATTTTTGAATGTTCATGAACATATATATTTTCATTATTTAGAAATATATGTTATGTTGTTTAAAAATATATATTAATGGGGATATTACTATTTTGTGAACTTTCCTTTTTAATAAACTCATATTATGTACATATATTTTTTTTGTTAAATTTGTTTTAAAATTTTAGAAATATTTGCTTTTTATTATATATGTTATTTGGAAAAAGGTAAAAAGGAAACTAAATAAAAAAATTAATAATAATCTTAAAATCTAAAAATTCATTAAGGGTATCTATGTAATCAACCATCGCGAGAGTTAACGTGAGCGCGACACGTAGGAAACTTATTTTGCAAATAATATTATAGAGATTTTATTTTTTTACCATAAACCGTTTTTCGTGTTCTATTTGAAATAATTACACTTTAGCATCTGTAATTTTATCTTTTATAAAATTGGAACATTTTCATTTTGAATTTAGAATATTTATTTTCAAAAATGTATATTTGACAAGAACTGTTTTGAAAGTACATAAATAGTTTTGAATTTGAAAGATTATATGATTTTGAATTTTGGTTAATAAATTAATTCATTATTTTATAAAAATATTGTGAATTTTTGGAAAATATTTTATATTTTTTTCAACAGATTTTGTTATAATTAAAAAACATTAAATCTGTAGTTAAATAGAATTTTCATTTCTATCTTTTGAATTATTAAAAATTTCCGATATTATATTTTGTAAATAACACATGACTAAAAGTTAGTTATATAATATTATATATAGTATATAATAAATTTTATGTAATATATTGTTTTGATATAAATTAAATAAAAATAATAAATACAGTTGTAGATATAATAGTTTAAGATAGTTTATTTATTAATATTAATAAATACAGTTGTAGATATTAATACATGTTCTTTATAAAACTATGCATAGTTGATGTATTTTAACCCTTTTAAAAAGTGAATGCTAGTTTATTTATTTAAATGAAAGTATTATTGAAATATAATAGGTTAATTTACCAATTTTATATAAATTGTTTTTATTTAGTTCATATAGTATTCCTATTTTAATATAATATAGATTATAGTTAGGGATTTTTATAAAAAAATAGCATAGTTTTATTTCTGTTTTATAATAAAATTTTATGTATATTAATAATTATGAAATCAGTTGCATTCTTGTATAATTTTTTAAAAAAATTTAATAAGATTTTATTATATTTTGTTATAAACAAAATAACTTAAATTTATTCTTCACAATATATTTTTTATATATTTTATTGATTAATATAAATAATTAAATATATCATACTAAATAAATAATTAAATGGTCCTATTAAAACTTGTGTACAGTAGATAAAAATTACAATTCTAAGTTAGTAGAGTAGATGTGCGTCATTGTAAGAAAGAAAATCACATTACTGAAAAAGTCTATCAGCTGGACATTACTACGATGAAAGATGGACAAAATATAAAATAATTAAATTTTGTTATGTTGCAGTTTATGATCCGAAGAGAAGCAAAGAAAATCATCTGTACGAACATGAGGTCCAATTAGAATTATTGTATTGTTAATCTGATAGTAAATAATCCCCCGTTTAGTTTTATTATAATTTTTTGAATTAAGAGATCGGTTTAGGTTAATAGATTAGATGTTGGTTTATTTTAAGTTATCGGTTTTTATTATATTAAGCTACTAATAATATTATACTAACAAACTTGAAATGGTCTATAATTTACTAACAAACTTGAAAGGATCCAAATTTTAAAACACAATTTCAAACAATAGGTAAAAATTAGGGCCATAAATTAATAGATTAGATACAATAAAAATGAAAAATATCAAATTCTACAATTCACAATTCAAATTTTTTAAATGGCGGAGTCAACAAAATATAAAGTCAAAACGGTCAATGTTTAAAAGTTGATGATTTTTTTGGCTCTAATTGGAGTTTGATTATTTGGGTTAGAAACTTGGACAAGAGATTGTCTATTTGTAGAGCTTCTTCCTCCATAGGGTTGTCCCGCGGTTGATCTCCTGACCAGCTCCAGACAACCTTAGGAGATGTAAGAACTGTCCATCGCTATGGCCCTGTGTGCCTGATGTTTCAGAGCAATTTGTCCTACCAATCTCTGAGGTGGTGAGTGAATCAACTACATCGTCTTGTTGACATTCTCTTCTGTAATCAAGAGTTATGACCTGAAGTTCGTGCGTGTCTACAATCTCTTGAGGTATGCTCTGCCATTAAAAGCAAACAAAACCATATGATTATTACTGAAGTTCCCACTTTCGAAAAGAGCCTGATGACATTCACCTCAATAACCCATCCAATATAGGTGACATTATTGACATGCTGGTTCATGTCAAGATCAGCTCTTCTTGGCTGCAAAAAGAACATGATTATACAGTTCTTTAGGAATGTTGAGTTCTACATATGGAGAAAGAATCTTTGTTACTCTACCTTAAGCCCAATCATTGAATACTGAGCTGGATCTTCGAGTTTCTGGATTTTCTTCAAGCTTCTGTTATTCTCCTCAGGGAATGCTAATCTACAAAGATATATATACATGAACAGAGTAGTTGACATTTCATGGCGATAACGATTTAATGGACCTGCAAGCATTGCCTGTTCCCTGGAAACAAATTTCTCTTTTACCTGGGTTCTTTAGGACAGAACACCAAGTGCTCGTTCCGAACATCATCAGAAACTTTCTGAAGCCGTCTTGTATCTCGGTTCATCATTACCCACTTGCTGAAACCAGTTGTACAGCAAATTAGGACAGTCTCATAAATCCAAAGTAACTGAAACTTATATCTTAACATAAAATATTTTAACTCCAATATCCAGGTCTAACAGAATTCCATTGCACAAACCAATGGAGAAAGCTAACAATGATGAAAAGGAAACCTTGTAGCACGGCCAGTGACTTCATCACTAGCAATGTCCTTAAGAATCCAGTCACGCCTTGTCCCGATCCTTCCTTCGCTCTGACACCATGTCTCTATCTCAACCACATCTCCCCTATAAACAAAAAATAAGAAGCTGAACATATTCAAATATTTCTTGCTCATTTGTTGTCTTCAAAAACCAGAGCCTAATTTGGGATTACAGATGCTTTAATAATTTTTTTTTTCAATCTTATATTTGATCTAAATTTTAAAATAAATAAAATATTTAATCTTTTTAATCTTGTTTTGTATAATCTTCTATAGTTTCACAGTTTACCTACTTATAACTAAAATGTTATATATGTTTTGTCCATGAAACTTTATGTTTAATCATTTGATTTGTCAAAATATCATATAGTAACCCTTTTATAAATTAATATTAAATATAAATATAAAAACTGGAGCCCTTGTATATATAAAGCCTTGTTAAGATGTTTCATATAAATAGACTAAGATCTAGTTATGATCAAACAAACACATATATAGATAGATAGATAATAAAATCAAAACCAATACCAAGCTGGATATTTGTACATCTCAATGTGCATTCTGGAAGTGACCCAAATGAGATTCAGTTTCCTCATAGTAGGTGTTGTCGCAAACCCATCAGTCGAAAATCCAACGCTCTGAAACTGATTACATCCCACCTCCTAAATATTCACCAACCAAGATTCATACATAGTTTTAACATTAGTACCAAAAGCAAATAATGGACACAGTCTGACCTGCAAAAGATTGGCAATGATTTGAATTGTAGCGGTTTTGTTACTCTGCACTTCGTGGGATCTGATTATGAACTTCTCCTTATACGATAATCCATCCTCTGTCAAGCTACCCAACCGGAGCCGACCCGCGAGTGTGCCCACACCTTGTTCCGCTTGAATCACACTTTCTTGATCAGCAGATACAGTCGCCCGCAGAGGATTCCAACCCGTTTTCCTCATCTGATAATAAGAGACGGAGAAGACATTTCTCCGATGAACCGGATCCTGTTGATGAGAATGTGAGAAGAAGCTCTGTAACTTATCAGTCGCGTTACTCGAGAACTTCAGCATGTTATGCAATAGACGAAAATGGAACAGAGAAGAACGATGTGAGAGACACGATACAACTCATACAATAGGAGAAGGTTCTTGTTCGAGGTGGAGAAGAAGAAGACAAACCAATAGCAACTACTTTTAAATTCGCCACTTGGTTGTTCCCTTGGTTGAGTCTGTATTGTATAATATAATATAAGAACTAAAATACTCAATTATTCAGTATTTGGCTACTTGCTATAACCCCTGCATATTTGTATATACTTTTTAAAAATAGATAACCCTCCTATATATCATTTTCTATATAATATTCCATTTGTTTCATTTTATTTAATAAAATTAAATAAAATAACCCCTAGCATATATATATATATATAATATTTTTAGCATATATATATATATAATTTTTTTAAATAGATAACGCTCTTATATATCATTTTCTATGTAATATTCTGTTCGTTTCATTTTATTTGTTATTTTATATTTATGCACACAGTTTAAAAAATTATTTAGTTTTATTATATAAAATATCATTACCTATATATTTAATTATATTTCAACCAGTAGAAAAATAAATTAGCATATAAAGTTAAAAATTTATTTTGTAACCATAAGACAACATTTATTTTGAAACGAAATTTAAACGGTGTGACCGCCCCGGGTCCAATCCTGTATCTCCCGTATCTTACTAATTAAGAGGTCCAATATTTTTTTATATTTACGTATTGTTATATAAAAGTTTTAAAATATTTATTAAATTTAGTTGACAAGAAGTCCTAAAATATTTTATGTGTACATAATTTATTTTCACCCCAATTTTTATACAGATATCAATGATAAAAAAAGTTAAAATATATTTAAATTTTCAATAAAAATAAATATGAAGAAATTAATATTTTTGTTTTGTCCCGGAGCTCCAAAAAATGTTGAACCGGCCCTGAAACACTTCTTTTGCTTCTTCATCTCCTCCAACAACACCACATTTGTAAAATTCACCAACATTTGTACTTTATAGAAAGTTTTATCAATGTTCTTATTAGAACACTCTTACTGTAATAAGAACTCGTTTCTTTTTTTGAAAGTAAACAAATCACAAACTAAGTTTGTCAATCAAGATCTTTTAGTTACATTCTTTTCGGATCTAATAGAAAACTGAAGAGGTCGATCAAGGGGAAAATAATGGATAACAGTTCTTACTTAGTTGTCCATCTTCATTATTATTCATTAACACATGTTTGAAACAGTCTTGCTTCAAAGCAAGAACTAGTGAGACAAAAAAAAAAAAAAAGGTTGATGGACACAACATGGGAATCAGAAATAACAAGCCTAACTTGTCTATTTCATCACCAAAACAAGCTTGCTATGTTTAGAGCAACAACTCAAATATACGGTCGTGATAAATCCTCTTTCCGATTATGTTTAGAGAGAACAGAGGGTCTATGTGGGACATCAGAGCTTCTCATCTACTCCTAAATAGATACTTTGTAAAATCAGTAGTATCTTGACTAGGAATAAAGAAAGTGGTGAAGCAAATCAAACCTCTGAGAAGAAGATTTTCCCTAGCCCAAAACAAAATCCCAGCCGCCTTGAATGCACCAATTTTAGCAGGCGAGTGTTTAGCATCAATTCACATACTGATTTCATATTTTTATGTTACTTACCTATTAAACTAGTTCTTCAGTCTTAATAACGCAACATTGACATTCACTTCATAATATATAAAAACAACAGACAAATTGCTCATGCAAATTCAACCGCTAAAATGATTCAGAAACACTTATCAATTCCATGGCAAACAACACCATGAACAAAACCTCGCGCCAAGTGCGGAAATATCTATAGAATCAACGTCATAATATTGTAAATTCGTATGGACACCACAAAAGAGCAACTCGCGCAAATCCAAGAAAACTAACTTGCTTTATTAAGAATCACTTAAACAATCCTACAAGAACTGTTTAATCCGGTTTACTCAACGTCACAACTTGACTTGAGACGGACCAATTCTTAATCTACCCAATGCACAGTGGTCGAGACAGACCTCACCACTTGCTCACTCAGAATCGCAGCTTTTAACACTCAAGCTCGATAACCAATATTAATCCCAAAAGCCGTAACCTAACTAATGAACTCTATCACCAATATATACTCACGTATCCTATTGTGATAAGTACAGATTCTCCCGATATCTTCTTGTTTATTCTCTAACAAATATCCTAGAATCTTGAGTCATTATCTTCTGAACGGCTCCTTGTATTTCGCTCCTGGTGTAACACTCGCTCCACGTTGTGTGACACCTTAGCCTTTTTTCGCTCAACCACACTTGAGCTCACTTGAGTGTAACACAGCCTCCTGTCCGTGTAACACTCCAATCATCATGCTCAGCAACCTGAGCTTACATTCTCCCCCTTTTTATCTTAATGTGACACCTCAAACACCTGTCATGAACCATACACACCAAGACACTACAAGCAAAGCACTTGCACCAAGACACACAAAGTAAACCAGAAATCAAATGCATTCATTGAAAAAACAAGTCTAGATCATTCATGATTACACACCACTTAGTTCTAGAAAGTTCAAACTACACTGCATAATTGAAACCGAAACAAACAGCATACGGTAATCTAGCAACTATCTAGAAATCCTACTCCTCCTCCTCCTCCTTATCACCGCTATCAATGATATGCACTGGCTCTCCAACATACTCTCCCCCTGCTTGAGTGCATCATTAGATAAAACAATCATGTGAGATAAATAAAAGATAAGGAGAGGAAAACACTTACTACGACTGCGAAGCTGAATTGCTCGGATGTCATTGATAACCTTCTGAAGGTCGTCGACCAGATTAGGTGGTTTGCTGACTCCCCCTATTCCTCTGCCAGCTTTACCATCTTTGACAAGAGCAGTGGGATGTCCTGTGAGCTCTTCATCTCTTTCACGGCGAGGTACAACCCGCTGAAAATGCAACAACTGATGAATGAGAGAAGGGAACCCAATTCTTCGCTTACGATCATCAGCTGAGTGAGCCATATCCATGAGCTGTTCATATGCAACAATACCAAAGTCAGCTCGCTTGTTGTGATGAAGCGCGCAGAGGAACCTGAGGCGATCTGGATGCATGCGTGTGTAGTTCATTGTAGGCATCCAATTTGTACAACAGAGTTTGTACAACACTTGATTGTCTGAAGTGAGAAGTTTTGAGCACATTCCTTCCCACCTTTGATGACGTCCCTCAGTGAGAAATGTGACCACAGTATCTAGATTCTCGGAGTACATATCGTAGTTAGGGTCTCCGGGGCTCAGAGCATACATAAGATCATTATGCTCGGAGACACCTCATACATGGCTCCACGCACATAGACAGCAACACCACCACCATTCCGGACATTCGTAGCATCTTGGAGATTTGCTAAGAACTTCCACACAAGATCAGGAACATACGGCTCACCATCAATGGCTGTGTAAATCATCCCAGAATGAACCACAACATTTTTGACTTCCTGCAGCTTCTCATCATCAAGAGGGAGATACTGATGATCGATGAACTTCTTATCAGCAAACTTCAGGTATCGTTGATAAGCTTCCTCGGTTGCAAACAGAGGACTGTAAGGCTCAGCCGGAGGTTGGTAACTCTCAGGATCTTCTAGGAGTGTCTCCTCGAACAATCGGCGACCTTCGTCATATCGTGGTTCTTTGGGAAGAAAGGAGATAGATTCACACGATCGACGCCGACTTGATTCACTAGCTTCAGGGCGAGATCTCTTCTTAGGAGTGCCAGAGGTTGGATCGGAGGAAGGAGTTTGCGGAGACCCGGAGGTTCCTCGACGAGAGCGAGTTCGCTGATGCATGTCGAGAGAGATGAGAAAAGATGAGTTCCTCGGCGGCGATATAACCTAAGAAGGAAACAAGAGACAAAAAGAACACATACCCCACTTTTGGCAAGGCCCATTAGTGCATTAGTGATTAAAAAACACTTGTCAGGCCCAATAGTTCTTGCAATCGAGTTTCTTCTAATCATATCATTTTCCTATACTCTAAGCAAGACACATTTATCCGGTCAGTGAGATCTTCTAGTCTTAATCGAACATGCCTATTCTAAGAATCAACTTTATTATAGCACTAACACTTGCAAGATGATCTATTTACATGCTCTTAGCTACTGTTCCAAAAAGAATGCAAGTTCACATCTAGTTTCACACATGTCTAGGTAACCATCAAAAACAAACGAATGTAAATCAGTATAGTAACTCCAATCTGTAGCTATTTCTCAGCCGAGTAGCTGTCACAAACGGATTCATCTAACTAGATAATCAAGCACTTATCTCACAAGTTAATCACAGTCACACACTTCTGAAACCACTAGTCATGTCTATTGATGTTCACCTCTGCAACTTCAGTGAATCTTTTTCAAAATTTTTTTTGTTTTTTTTTTTTTTTTATATTATGAGCAACAAGAACGTATTTCAGTCCCTGCCTGATCAAAACAGTGATCAACATAGACATAGAGTATGGTAATACCCTATTCCACGATGAGTGCTTATCATTTCAGGCCTTTTGAATGATCCTTCTTCTACTTCGTAACCTGAATCCTCAGAGACAACAGTCTCTGCCTAATCAAAGTAGTGATCGTCACCAAAAGACAAAGTGTTGTAGCACCCTTATTCAGAACGAGTGCTCATCATTTTAGGCCTTACTCCTGTGAGATCAGGAGTTCGTTGTGTAGCACACATTATCGGGTGTGTTACACACGACATGACTAGTGTTTTCTCCATCCACTCCAGACAGTGATCATTCCTCATTGTCAAAATGTTGTAGCATCCTGATCCAAAGTGAGTGTCCTTCACTACGAGACAGTGTGATTGTGACAACTTGTAAAACAGTATCTCGATTCTAACTAGACAAATTGTTACTATAAAGTTTTAGGGGAGAAGGTACCTTAGACACATGCGATTTCAATATGAACTTACCTTCTTGTCAGAACAGCTTTCTTCATTGCTGAAGATCAACGATTCCAAGAGCTTTTCGGAGACCC